GCTCTTGAGAAGTATTTGTCCAGCAGGGTCCTGAGGCCAGGATGGGGTGGGCTGCTCCCTGCCCGGGAGGCCTGGTCTCCCTGGGTGTGGGTGCAGCGCCCGCTCTCCCTGGTGCTCTCTGCACACTGAGTAGGGGAAGGGCGGCAGGCGCTGGCTGTGTCCGTGATTCCCGCCGAATCCCAGCTTTGCACTGAGCGGGGCCTGGAGGTCTCCACACTGGCCCAGCGATCAGTTCTGTCGCAGGCTCACCCTCCCTCGAGCCCCATCTCCTGCCACTCCTTGTCCCCCACCTCGTGCATGGCTCCCCGGCCTTCTGAAGCCCTCACTGGTGCTCCAGCATCCTCTGGACTCAGTGTGTACTCTTCTCTCCCCCTGGAGAGCTACTTGGTGACCCTGTGGCCAGGTCAGCCAGTGACGTCCACCTTTCCCTTCAGGACTCCATGCCCCAGTCCAGGCTGTTTGGCCCACTCGGGGCGGGCATCATCCTGCATTGTAATGGGCTGCCTCTGCATCTGTCTCCACCTGGCTGCGGGCCTCCTGGGTGAGCAGTGTCCTACCCCAGTTGTTGGGTGGTGCTGGGCACAGTGCCAGTAGCTTCACTCTCACCCCCATAGTTTCAGCCAGTTTGCACCAGCCCACAGTCAGGGGAGACAGCTGTAAAATGCCATTACAGATGAGGAAGCCGAGGCCCAAGAGGCTGAGTCATGTGCTCCAGCCCCTCCAGCACATGCGGGGTGAGCCCCTCTCCAGGGCTCATGTGTGCCCCCGCCCATGCAGACGCTGCGTGGTGCAGGTGCTGTGGGAGCTGGCATGTGCCCAGGAGGAGCTGGGCCTTCACACCTGCACAGCTGTTCCAGCTGTGACCCCTTCCAGCACGCATCTGCACTGGAGCTCTCACAGCAGCTGTGTCTGTGTCCAGGGCGCTGCTCCCAGACGTCCAGCTGGAACAGACCCTCTGTTCTCAGCCTCATCTCTTTTCCTTGCTCCACCCGTCCTCTCTCAGGGGTGGGCTGCACCCACCTCAGCCCCCTCCCAGATGGTCCCCTGTGCAGGTCGCCCTGCATTTCTCCCCTGGGCACCTGCTGGGCAGGCTGTGAGGGGTACAGGGCAGGCCCACTGCCCATCTCCTGGGAGCAAAGCCCCTCAGTGTTACATCATTTCCTCTGTGTGAGGACATTCCCTTCACATGATGTGTCACTTAGGATATGTTTCTGGGACAGACAGGGCCTGGTGGCATGTGTACTATGAGAAGGTCCCTGGGCACCAGAGGCTCCTCAGCTCTTTCCAGTTGGAGGCTCCAGAGAGCTGAGCCACATTCACACAGTGTCCCCACATGGTGGGTCAGAATGGCCGGTGGGCTGCACTGTGATGGTGGAGATATTTCGTAAAGGTCCCCTCGAGGGAGAATTTCTCACCTTGAAAGACGTTATGCTAAATGAAAGAAGCTCATCACAAAAGTCCACCTTTTATAAATGATTCAGCTCCTGTGAAAGTTGAGAACAGGGGAATCCATAGAGAGAGGAAGTGGGTCAGTGGTCGCTTAAGGATGGGAGGGGTAGAGGGAGCCGTAGCTAAAGGGCACAGGGTTTCTTCAAGGCAAAAAAAATGTCCTAAATTGGCTCTGGAGATGATGGCTGCACATGTCTGTGATCATCCTAAACCATGAATTGTCACTTTAAATGGGTGAGCTGTGTAGTGTGTGAATTCTCTCTCATTAAAGCTGTCTAAAGAGAGAGAACTTCTCCCTGCCATCTTACCATGAAACTCAGTGCTACAGAGAAACCACACAAAGAAAACATCAGCACGATTTTTAAAGGCCCTTTGCAAGGTGGTGCACCCAGAGGCAGGACAGGGTCCTGAGGTCCCAGGGTGCAGGGCTGGGATGGAGCACAGTGTGGGCTTTGCTCCTGTGGACGGAATTCTTACCAGAGACCCTAGGAATCTGGATAAGGGTGTGTGAGTGTGAGAGTGTGTGAGTGTGTGTGAGTGTGTGTGACAGGGAGCATTCCTAGGGAGCTGGAACACAGTCTTCCTCACACTGGTGGGCACGCACACCCAAAGCAGGTGAAGAGTCGGGTAACCTCGAAGCTTCCCTCTGCACTGGGGGCCGGAAGCTCAGCCCAGATCTGCGGCCCCGTCTCGCTGGTGCTCACTCAGGACTCTGTGACGAGCACTCAGTGTGGGGACTGCGCTCTGACTTCCCCTCACTCTTCCTGCCTTTGATTCCTGACTGAGCCACACGGGGAGGAATCGAGCTGAACGAGGTGCAGGGCACTGAGCCTGAGACCAGGGTCTGAGAGCCGCCTTCTCAGATTGTGCCACTTCCGGGTACCCCGTGCCTTAATTTACCTCCTATGTATTTTACAGTTAATTTTTCCAGAATAACTATATCACTCCCTTAAGAATAAAAGCCATGCCCTTCTCCAGGTCACCTCTGCCTTCCCGTCCTTGGAGCTCATGCTCTGGGGGAGCTCCAGACCCCTGGCTGCCCCCTGAGCCCTTCTCCTTGCCTTAGTCAGAAAAACTTGAGAGTGACAAAGAGAACGGTTTTCCCCACGTGGCATTCAGTGTCCCTCAGTACCATGTCCACTGGCCATGTACAAGCTCCTTGGGCCCGCTGGGTCCCACGTGGGATTCCATAACAGAGGGCTTTCCCCTCCACGTGCAGCGCCAGCTGCTCCTCTGGGATTTGGTCCATCAGCCGCTGCTTTAGGCACACTCATCTCCCAGGAGGCCCTGAAGGCCAGGGAACCAACTCGGACACTGACACATGGCTGGACAGGTCTTCCCTGTGTCCCACACCCAAGAGTCAGCCCTGAGCAAGGGGTCCTCACCCCCTCCCTCACCTGATCAGGGACAGTGCCACTTTGTGACTAACCAGAAGCACCTGTCTTGTGCTGGATGCTGCAAAGGGGCAGAGCAGGGGTCCCTGAGAGCAAGTGAATGGGGACTTAGCTTAGATTGGTCCTCTTTGGATGGTCACTGCTTGACCAAGCACAGGACGCCTAGGAGAAGTGTGTCCCAGGCCCTTGCCTGTGCCCACAGGATGGACATGCCCGATCCTCCCTCTTCTCCATGCCACACTCTCGTGCCTCCTAAATCCAAGTCCGTTTCTGCCATCAGCTCACGTCCCTGTGTCAGAGCCCGTGATGGAAAAGGCCAAGTGACCTGTTTGATCTTAAAGGGAACTGTGGATGAGATCGACACACACGTCTTACCTATGGCAGTCTGAGGGTTTGTGTTTAACTGATTTTGCTCCAATTACTGTAAGTTGTAAAGTGTGTCCCACTCACTCTGTCACGTGCCTTCCTCCAGGCCATCTCAGGTTCATCAGTACAGGAAGTCTTCTGGGCAGAGATGCCCAGATCTGATTCATTAAGCCCAACTTGGTTTTTCTAACTCCAGATTCTTCATTGCACTGATTTTTCTACCAAATGTGATCCTTTCCTGATGCTTCTCAGCTAAGAGGCTCGGAGAACCTCTGTGAGGACAGTGGTATCTTTTACCCAGCAGGTGGGCAGCGGGACAGGGAGACGAGGTCAAGGTGATACGGGGACGGTGAGCCAAAGAGTTGAAAGAAAGATTTCTTGGATTCTCAAGGTCTGGCAGTAGTGCTCTTTTATTTAGAGAATAGTGTGGAATAGCATGGGGACAGGACCCATGGGCAGTCAGAGCTGCTGCTGCAATGTGTTGAGGGTTAGGGCTAACTTTATAAGGCATGGCTACTTGACTTATTTTTACTGGAAAAAGAAAAGATGGAGTAAAAAGTCATTAAATGATTTCAGTACAGATGGGGTCTGGTTATTGTGTGGTCATATAACTTTAGATATGAATTTGGTCATATAGATCAGCATGTAGGGGAGGATGCCCTGGGCTTCTCTCCTTGGGGCAGCCTTGATCCACACCAAAGGGACCACTTAAGTCCACACCACAGTGGCCATAGGATTGAGAAGCAGCCTGTCATCAGCCCCTAGATGCTCAGGAGGATGGTACAAGAGTCACAGTACCTTGGAACCTCTGACTGTGAAGCCATCTCCCCTGTGTCCCGGTGCACGCCCAGCACAGTCCTTCTCTGGGTGGGGACAGTGGATGAGGCAGAGCTGATCTCACTGGGATGAAGAAGGACAAGGAGAAATGGAGAGAAGTACAGAGTCCCCAGCCTTGGGTGTTTTTGTCCACAGGGGGAGCGGGATTGTGGCATTGAGGGTGTTGTGACCCCCACGTCTGTACTCATTCTCCTCTTTGATTGGGGCTCACTGACCCCGTGAACATCAGCTGGGTTGTCTTCTGGGTACCAATGGGGGAGTGCTGCTCTCATGCCATCCTCGGCCACCCAAGGAGCCTGGCTGAGCTGGGTCCTCTCTCCTGCCACTATGCCAGCACTCAGAGCACTTCCTGGACTTGGGGACTTAAAGGTTCATTTCTTTTAAAAAAATGCTAATGACATAGTGTGGCTAATTTATTTTGCTAATAAAGACCAAAAGAATCTTTTGGTCACTACCATTTCATAAAAGAAAGGATATTTTTATATCAAAAATACTAGGAAGGATATAATCTCGGGATTAGCCCTTCTAACGATAATACTGGCTGGTATAAGTCCTTTCTTGGATGATGAATTACTTAACTTCCATGTGCCTCTGGTTCCCCATCTGAGAAATGGGTCAGTACTTTGCTCATAGGATTGTGTGAGGACTGAGTTAATACTTGTAAAGTGTTTAGGACAGTGGCTGGCATATAAATGTGATATTAGTGCGTTTTGAATAAAAAATTAAAATTGTGCTTACAAAGTGAATAAAGGCAAGGAAGCAAAGGATTGGCAAAGACGGAGACTGGAGATCCAGGCTAGAGCCTTGCAGGGCTGAAAGAGTCATTTTTGGTGAGGAAATGCCCATTGCTGCGCTCTGCCTCCTTCCTGTTTTTCTGCCCCTCATGCCCCAGCATGACCTCTGGGTCTGGCCCTTCCTGGTCCAATGCTCACCTTGCCCTCCTTCCTTCTGCAGGTCTTTGGGTGTCTGGTGTGTATCCTGGTTGCCTTGTCCCTGGCGTCCATCCCTCTTGTCCAGGGCTGGGTGATGTTCGTGTCTGTGTCCTCCTTCATAGGCACCACTGTCCTGTTCTTCATGTACATGTGTGGCGCCCACGTTCCAGCTACCCTGGTGAGTCCCAGCCCAGGATATTTGAGGGGGTGGGTAGGACCCTCTGCCCTGGGAGGCTGGCTTTTCCAGTGCTGGGTGAGGCTGCCCTGTAGACGTCTCCCACCCACATTCCAAAGCTGAGCTGGCCCGGCCTTCAGCTCCGAGCTGTGCACAGCAGCCCGGGGCTCCCTGCAGCCAGGAAGTCAGGAGAAGGGGATGGCAGTGTTTGACTGTCACCATCTGCTCTGTTTCCTCCTGCGTGACTGCCTTTTTCATGGATAACCAGCTGCCCAACCCCCCTCCTACCCTGCCTGCATCTGCCAATGGCCTGTGGACACCTCCCATCATCCAGGAGGGCTGGTTTCCGTCTCCTGGGAGCAGGGTCCTGGGGGCTGGCCTTGGCTGCTCAGTGTGAGGCCATGCTTACTGCCCAGCTCCATGTCACAGCTTCTAAAGTCGGGTCACCGGAGTGGGACTTGGTGGGGGAGAGAGATGGCCTGTGGTCTCTGCTCTGCATAAATTCTTCCTTGAGGCCCATGAAGAGGATGAAACTTACACATGGACCCCTGTCCCTTACGTCCCCTGGAAGGGGTGGGGCCATTTGACCAGGTCTTTCACTCTCAAAAGGTCTCCTGCTTACACTTGAGAAATCACCTCCAAATTCCAGATACTCAGAACCCCATACCAGTACTTTTTGCTTGTAAATATGCCCCCTGCCTCACACCCACCAAAAAAATGAGCAACAATGGAAATGGCCTGGGCCTCTCTCCCCTGCACTGGTCACTGAGGCCACATCCGAACCAGGACTGTGACCATGTATGACACTTCTTGGGTCCAGAACCGACTTCTGCCTATTCAATCCCAAGCTTCCCCCTCACTTGATCCCCCTCAAGGGAGAGCAGCGTCCCTTCTCCACTGAAGTCCTTACTCTGCCCCAAACCAGCGAGATGAAACTCAGCTGGACCAACGACCTCTGTGAGGTGGTGGTTGGGGTGTGTGGTGATGGTGGATGGGGTGGGAGGAGTCAAGGGAAGCAGCAGAAGATGACCAAGGGACCTGAGCCATGCCAGGTGGGGACAGGGGGGTGGACAGATCTTGCTGGAACCATAGCTACTCCACGTTACCGTGTCTGGACTGCCCATCTCTCTGACAGCCCTTTCTGACCCTGCAGGACGCAGTCTACCACTGTATCGCCTTTCTGTTTTACCTCAGTGCCTCTGTCCTAGAAGCTTTTGCTGCCATCTCCAAACAAAGTAACTTCACGTATGAACAATACATTGAAAGCGCCTTTGCAATGGTGAGTCCCCAAGTCAACCCACCCGTGCTCACAGCTCCCACCGCCCGCTGACGGGGTCTGAGCGGAAGGCTGCCCAAGCCCTCCCCTCTGTTTTTACCTTCACTGACTTTTGAATGAAATGGACCTTCCCCTCATCATGAAGACACGAAGCCCGGAGAACGGAGGGACGTGCCCAAGACTCCCTTCTCCACCTGGTCAGGGCTGCAATGCACAGGCCTGGGCTGGCTCAGGGTCCCGGCCTGGGTGGGCTTTGCAGAGGGCGGGTGTGAGAGGACGTGACCGCTGATGCCCGGCACCGTCCAAGCTCTCCGTGAACCATCGTATTGAGCCCTCACAGCAGCCCTGGGGTGTGGGCGCTGTGTCATCCCCATTTCACAGATGGAGAACCAGGGCACCACGAGCAGGATAACGTGCTCCAAGGTCACCAGGAATGGGTGGGGCTGGTGTCAGGCCAGGTGCCCTGTCAGCACCCTCAGCACCAGCTTGGAGCAGTGAGTCTGGCCCCTGGGTGTCCTGGCCCCCTGAGCGGTCTTCCATGGAAGCACAGTCAGGGGCGGGAGATTGAGGCCTGGGGTGAAAATCGAGTGGCGGGGGTCTCCCCAGGCCCTGGCTCTCGGGTGGGCTGTGGGGAGGCCCTTCTGGGCCCAGCGAGTCCAGACCCCCAGCTGTGGGTGTTTGCTGTGCAATCAGGCTTCAGCTCCTCGTGACGGTGTCTCCTGCCCCACAGCTCTGAGCACCTGTGGGAGGAGGAGGGGCCGGAGGTTGCGTCTCCACCAGCTCCCTGTGCACGTCCCCTATGCTCCCTGAGCCTCGGCCTGCTCCTCTGTGAAATGGGACGGCAATTCCTGTCCCTTCCCCTCGAGGACTGTGGATGTTGAACAGCTCCCTGCCGAGGCCTCACAGGGGCCCTGGGGGGAACAGGGCTTGAGCCTCGTTCACCCCGTCAGCAGAACAAATGCAGGGCCGACTGTGTGTGACTGGGGGGCACGGTGTGTGCAGGTCTCTGAGCTCTAAAAGGAACGTTCTCCACTGCGGGGCCAGACCCACTGGTGGGGGAGGTCATGACCTGGATTTCCTTTTTAATGGATTGGGTCAGAATGACAGGAGTAAGAAGATATATTTTTCCATAAACGTGTTTTCAGAGCTGTGCATGGTGCACTTGCACCTGTGTGCTAACTCACCATATCAGATGTACTTCTAGCTATGAGTATTGTTTAAAAAGCAAGAAAAAGTTTCAGAAATAGCACTCCTCAAATTTCTAAAGGTCAACCTATGAATTATGGCAAGCCCAAGGTCAAACATAATGACAGATCACAAGATGTCACCTCCATGAGCCAAAGCTGCGCTGTCCCCACATTTTGGAGAGGACAGAGCAGAGGCTGAGAGAAATCCCACAGGGTGGATGCTGTTGGGCACTTGGGGAAGGTTTCTCAAAACCTTGACTGCTGGTCCCTTTGGGCCTGTCCCCTGCTCCGGGGAAGACACACGCTCCTCTTAAGCTCCCAGCCTACTTCCCAGGTCCATCTACATGGCCACCTCATGGTCTCCCATCCCTGAAATGTCCCACAGTTTGGGAATGTCTCCCATATTGACTCATCTCCCAAGATGACTGCTTTCTAAAAAGTAGCACAGCCAGGCGGCCCCTAGGATGCTCTTCCTTCCCTTGGGAGGCTGGTCATCCACCTCCTCCGTCATCCTTCAAATGACTCTGTTTGATCTCCCCTCATCTAGAGAGCCTTATACCTCCCCCATCCCAACCCCAGAAGCCTTCTCACCAAACAGACATCAGTAAGGCATTTGCCAACAACTTCCGTAAAGTTATTGCAGACAGCTATAATCACATATAGATGGAACGTGGCTAGTGGGTCAGCACTTGACGGAACAACCCAGATGGGGTGGATTAATGCCTTTGCCTGCTGGACAGATCTCTAGCTGAGAACCACTGGGCTCTACTGTGTTCCGACTTCTCTTTTACTTTTTATCAAAATGCAACACACATCCAGAGGAGTGAGCAGGATGCAAGTGCACAGCTTGATGAATTTCCATAAATTGAACCCCTCTGTGTAACAAGCACCCAGATTAAGAAACAGAGCATCATAAACAGCTCCCAGAGACCTCCTTCCTGTGCTGCCGTGATCACTGCTCAACTACAGCAAGGATGACCACAGGCCTGATTCCTAGCTGCCTAGCTCGATTTTGCCTGCTTTTGAACGTCATGTGAATGGAATTGCACAGTGTGTGTCTTTTCTCTCTGGCTTCTGTCTCTCCGCCTTAGGCTTGTGAGGCTGATCTCACTATGGGTTGGAAATGTAGAGTGTTTATCCTCATTGCTGTAAAGTATTCCATTCATGACTATCCCAGCGTCTCTTTATCCAGTCCACAATTGATTGTCTCCCACTTTCTGTTAGCTGGGTTGGAGAAATGTGAGCCCGCCCAGGCAGAGTCACGAGTGCCAGAACCCGGAATCACAATGTTCTCAGCAGGCAGGGGCGCTGGGCTGAAACCATCAAGAGGAACTAGAGCCCGGGTCAATGTGAAGTCCCGCCTTTCTATTCAGAATATCAGCTGTGTCCATACACAGTGGGAAGGAGTCCTGGTCACTTAGGGTTCAACCCCAGATCCTGCCCAGCCATCACATGGCCTCCCATGGTCTCAGGGAGGCCCGTCCAGGCTGTGGGAGGTGTCTCAAGACCATCTCCTCACACCCCTGGCCTTTGGGAGCATCTGACCTCCCCCTCTGTGACTCCTAAGTGGGACCTACCTCTGAAGCTGAACTTCTCCCCCATTTGCTGACAGCAGAGTGTCTGCACCAAAGGGATCCCTGGGGTTGGTGGGAGCCGACTGAGGGGAGCTGGAAATTTCTGCAAAAATCTGCAGGTTTCTGGATCTTAACAGTGGGGGGCAATAATGGGAGCCATTTAGGAGAGGGGTTTCTGAAAACCTAAGGATGTCCCTTCATGTCCCTGCTGTCCATGTCCCCAAGGTGTCATTTCTTGCCCTCACTTGGAAAATAAGGTCTGTGTCCTGTTCCTGTGGGGACTTCTGAGGCTCCTCTGCCAAGGGTTCTCGCTGGGTCTGGAGCTGCTCCGACAGTAAACTGCTCCCATCTGATGGAGTGAGGTGTTTTTGGGGGCTGCTCATCCATGGTGACCGCTCCTTTCAGGCAGGCTGCCTCAGAGTTCCGGATGAGCTCTCTCAGATGTGTGATCAAATACTCGGCTTACTCATCGCCTCTGGCCAACGAGGGTCAAGGGTTCGCCCTGTGTGGGGCGGGAGAGGTCCGGCCTGGTGACGGCTGGTGTCTCTGGGCATTTTCATGGGTCACGGATGCGTAGCCACCCTAAGTGTCGTGCCTGGTTGGACACTCCTGACCCCATGCCCCAGATCACAGATCCAGGAGCAGACATTGGACTCAGGGGCAGCAGGCCTTTAGGAATAGATGGTGCCCAGTGAGCACAGCACGTCAGGGGTTTGACAGGCCACAGGTGACCGTTTGCCACGTTTCCAGGGGCTGTGTTCCCAGTGTCAAAACAGCCAACTGCATCTTCCCAGCAGCTTTCTCAGGAGCCCCTCCTTTGCAGCATCTCACAATCCCACCTCCCTGTCCCTGTCCCTCAGTCCTGTGAGCCTGGCTCCTTGCCCGTGTCTGTGAGATTATGATCCTAGAATAACATTCTGATGGGTCTGAGGACGTCCAGGCAGCATTGAGACCTTAACCAGAGCGAGCAAACCCTGTGTTCATGTTCTCCAACCGAGGCTGCTGGGCTCACAGCTGGTGGACCCGGCTCTTCCTGGTGTGGAGGAAGGAAGGTTCCCATGGAGAGCAGTTGGTACTCGCCTGTGAGTATCATTTGAGGGGCCTCTCAGGGCCCCCGTTTCCAACTGGGTGGCACTGATGTGGTGATGTGAGATGGCAGATGGCTGACCTTGCATGCCACGTCCAGTGGGTCGTGAGGCCACCTGGAGCTCTGTGCCGAAAGCAATCAGGGCCACATCTGGGCTCAGCAAGAAAGGAAGTCTGCATGAGTGGATGGGAAGCAGTGGTCCACACACTTCAGGTCTGTCATCCCAAAGGCTATGCAAGTGGCTGGCCCATGCCTTGCCCTCTCTCATTGCATGCCCACTAATTGTCATTTATCTTGGTTTCAGATGTTTCTGTGCCTAAATACTCTGCTGTACATGTGCCATGCAATGATGTCTGGCAGCACATGCCTGTTTTCAGTAAGTAATTGCTCTGGGCAAGACATTGAGTAAGCACTTTACATTTCTGTAGCCTCCTGTCCTCCTCCCCGTGGCCACAGGAGATGCCATGACTGTCCCTTTACAGGTGAGGAAACAGACTCACTCGGCTGATGAGAACTGGAGCTGGATTTCAGCCCTGCTCCTTCTGTCCCTGGGGCCCTGTGCTCACTTTCTGCCCTGGGAAGGCCAGACCTGTCTCCATGCAGGCCTGTCCCCCAGCATCTCAAGAAGCAACAGTGAAGAGACAACAGAAGAAGAGACAAAACGTTGCAGTGGACCTGATGCCATTGGGCTGGGGCCTTCAGAGTGAGATGAAGCCAGGCATTCGGGACAGCCCCAGACCACTGGCAGGGTCAACAGCAGGCCATGTGGCCGAGTCCAGGTCCTTATTGAAAGGGACTGGCTGCTGTGAGCTGCAAAGTCATGACAATGCCAGTTCAGGCAGCTGCCAAGTTCCACTTTGCAACTTCCACAAAGCCAAAGGCCCACACAGACCAGTGGATGCCTTGTAAAGAAGGTGAGGACCTGGGGGGTTTTAAGCTCCTGGAACAAAGAGCTGAATGCCTCCATGGACCTGAGAAAGGATTAAGAAGAAACTGATGTCTCCGATGTGACCAAGAGCCAAAGCTTGCAGGACAGAAGAAACCACAGTCCCCACAAATACGTGTTGATGGTGTGCGTCAGGGGAGGGCCCACAGCGAGAGGCAGCTGTGGGTCACGTCCACCCAGGACGTGTTGGAGGCTGTCGTCTGTGACTGCAGTGGCTGGGGCCCCCTTACCTCTGGGAACCGCGCCCCTGAGCCTCTGTTCTGCTCACAGTCAGAATTCCAAAACAGCAGGCAAGATGGTTCCACAGGAGCTAGTGTGGGTCCTTTGGGCTATCTTATTAGGGCGTTGGTGCTTCCTGACCTTTGGTCCCAGGCAGGGCCGCCAAGCAGGCAACATCTAATGAATGTCCCACGTGTCCTTGGGGTGGCACCAAGCTATGCCTCAGTGATTCCCTCCTGCCCAAGACCCAGGGGCAGAGAAATGAGCCACGCAGGCCACAGGAAGCTGTGGGGGCTGGAACCACGTCACATGTCCAGGGACCAATGGTCCCGGCACACAGTAGGTGCTCAGTTGATGCCCATTCTCTGGAGATTTACAGTGACTTCCCCACTCTCTGTGACTCAGAGGCCCATGTTCTGTCCCCATCGTCCCCGGTCACGGCAGCCTCAAAGAGCAGGGGTGCTGCAGGCAGACCCAGGGCTCCCGGCCGGGACCACTTTCGTCCCTCACAGTAATGTGGGGTCAGTCCCAGTGCAGCCTCTACAGATGGCCCTGAGAGGTGAGGTCCATGCAGAGCGCTCAGCTTCCAGGACTTCCTTCAGCCCACACACTGTCAGCAAGAGCCCGCGAGGAGGCCGACACCAGAGAACGGGACCCCCCAACAGCACTGGGTGCCCGGGGCTGTTGGAGGTGCTTTACTTGTTCCCTTAACCCCTGTGACAG